AATTTCTCTTTTTTAGTGATGGAGTCTTGCTGTGTTGCCCAGGCTGGTCTCAAACACCTAGGCTCAAGTGATCCTCCCACCTTGGCCTTCCAAAGTGCTGGGATTACAGGTGTGAACCACTGCACAAGGCCACTCATTCCCCTTTCAATTATCTACCAAATCCCAGTCCTTGAGTCTGTCACTGCCAATAGGGAGCACCAATAACTCACTACCAATGAAGGTCTGCAGGAAGGAGGCAGTCTATACAACTCTATCTGGTGATATCTTCCATTTTCCCTGCCAATTGGGTTAAGTTGTCTTTAAAAATTAACTCCTACACTAGTTACTTCAAATAAATGAAGCCATTTACCTTATTATTCAAATCTCTTTTCTATTCCAAATCCATGTGAAAATAGCAGAGACTATAACAAGGACAAGATATGCAATGAAGACAGATTTGTTGTTCAGAGATTTCTTTTTTTTTTCTTTTCTCTGAGACTGCGCCTGGCCTGTTCTGAAATTTTACTATCTTTAGAGAAGAGGATGAAAATCACTACTATGGTTTGAATGTGTCTCCCAAATCTCATGTATTGGAAACTTAATCTCCAAATGCATATGTTGATGGTACAGTATTTAGAGGTGAGGCCTTTGGGAAGTAATTAGGATCAGATAAGGTGATCAGGGTAGGGCCGCATGATGGGACCGATGGCTTTATAAGAGGAAGAGAGACCTGAGTGGACATGCCCACTCTTGTCCCCAACCATGTCATAATGTAGCAGGAAGGCCCTCACCAGATGCTGGTGCTATGCTCTTGAACTTCCCAGCCTCCAGAACTGTGAGCTAAATAAACCTCTATTCTTTAAAAATTATCCAGTGTAAGCCAGGTGCAGTGGCTCATGCCTGTAATCCCAGCACTTTGAGAGGCAGAGGCGGGTGGATCACTTGAGGCCAGGAGTTCAAGACCAACCTGGCCAACGCGGTGAAACCCCATCTCTACTAAAAACACAAAAATTAGTTGGGCATGGTGGTGGGTGCCTGTAATCCCAGCTGCTTGGGAGACTGAGGCAGGAGAAGTGCTTGAACCTGGGAGGCAGAAGTTGCAGTGAGCTGAGATTGTGCCACTGTACTCCAATCTGGGCAACAGAGTGAGACTGTCTAAAAAAAATAATAAAATAAAATAAAAATCCAGCCTGTGGGATTCAGTTATAGCAACAGAAAACAGACTAAGACAACCACTAAACAGAAACTCATCCAAAACAGAGGGATTAATGGAGGGATTAGATCCAGAGACCTAAGCTCTCTGGTATAATACAAGCAGTTCCCTTTAATCGAACACTTAGTTTGTGCCTGGCACTCATCTCATTTAATCCTCACAACAACACTATAAAGTATCGTCACTCCATTCTGCAGTGGAAAAAAATGGGACCTAAGATCAAATAACTAGATCCCGAAGTCCAAGTATGAATGGAAAGAATTTAGAATGGGGCCCTGTGCAACCCAAGCATTCGTTATTACTATTTTTAGGGGGCAGGGTAATAATCTCAATAAATTGACGGATGCTTTGTTGCTCCTTCCCTTTTCACCAAACCCACTTTCTCCCCTCACTGGTCAAAGATAACCCAGTAGCCTAAGACATAACTCAAATGGGGCACAAATTTTATGGGAAAATGACAGCTTTTGGATTTTCTCAAGGCAACTTCCAGCCTGGCTTGTAACATTGTGGACCCAAGGAGATACCAGTTCCAGATGGGGCACCATCCTGTTCTTACACACAACAGAAGACGAGACTCACCATACAGATGTTGTGTTCTTTTCCCATTGCACCCGCCACGGTTTGGAGGCATAGATGGCCTCTCCGTTGATGCTCAGCCATTTCCCAAGAGCAAGAAGTCTTTCTTGGAAGATGGGAACAATCAATCCATCTTTGGTTGGTCCAATGTTCAGAAGATAGTTGCCTCCCAAACTGACTGTCTGAACCAGTTCCTGGAGAGAACAGACACAATGAAAGTCTAGCTAGGAAAGCCAAGTCTGGCATCATGCTTAAAATAGACAGTAGGAGAAGAGAAAGAATCTAGGGCACACTGTTTGGTAAATATCCTCTGTTGTTTTAAATTTTTTTTTTTTTTGAGCCGGAGTTTCACTCTTGTCACCCAGGCTGGAGTGCAAGCTCACTGCAACCTCCAACCTCCCTAGTTCAAGCAATTCTCCTGCCTCAGCCTCCTGAGTAGCTGGAATTACAGGCATGCACCACCATACCCAGCTAATATTGTCGTATTTTTAGTAGAGACAGGGTTTCACCATGTTGGCCAGGGCAGTCTCAAAACTCCTGACCTCAGGTGATCTACCTGCCTTGGCCTCCCACAGTGCTGGGATCACACGCACGAGTCGCCACACCTGAGCTAAAAATTCTCTTTCTCTATATATTTTTTTCACTATAAAAGCAGGTTAGGCTCATGTGAGTAAACTGAAAAATCATGCTATAAGATGGATAATTATATTAACTCGAATTTCAGGGAGTGGCCATGGAGTACTTCCTGTGATACTGTACTTCTCATGGTGCTGGGTGAGTGGGAAGGGTCATGCCCCAGAAACGTGAGGTGTGGGCAGGGAAGCTGAGAATTTCAGGACATTCTTTATGCATTGGGTTATATAAATGCACATGCTGCCCCTTTGGGAAAACTGCTATAAAGAGATACATTTGGCCAGGCGCGGTGGCTCACACCTGTAATCCCAGCACTTTGGGAGGCCGAGGTGGGCGGATCACGAGGTCAGGAGATCGAGACCAGCCTGGCTAACACAGTGAAACCCCATCTCTACTAAAAATACAAAAAATTTGCCAGGCGTGGTGGCGGGCGCCTGTAGTCCCAGCTACTCGGGAAGCTGAGGCAGAAGAATGGTGTAAACCCGGGAGGTGGAGCTTGCAGTGAGCTGAGATTGCGCCATTGCACGCCAGCCTGGGTGACAGAGCGAGACTCTGTCAACAGGCATGCGCCACCATGACAGGCTAATTTTTTTGGATTTTTTAGTAGAGACGGGGCTTTACCATATTGGCCAGGCTGGTCTCCAACTCCTGACCTTGTGATCCGCCCTCCTTGGCCTCCCAGTGCTGGGATTACAGGTGTGAGCCACC